GGGACATGGACGTGATGTGGACATGGATGTGGACGTGGACGTGGACGTGGACATGGACATGGATGTGGACATGGACATGGACTTGGACGTGGACATGGACGTGGACATGGACGTGGACATGGACATGGACGTGGACATGGACATGGACGTGGACATGGACGTAGACGTGGACGTGGACATGGACATGGACGTGGACGTGGTCGTGGACGTGGTCGTGGACATGGACATGGACGTGGACGTGGACGTGGACATGGATGTGGACTTGGACGTGGACCTGGACGTGGACGTGGACATGGACGTGGACGTGGACGTGGACGTGGACGTGGACGTGGACGTGGACATGGACGTGGATGTGGACGTGGACGTGGACATGGACATGGACGTGGACATGGACATGGACGTGGACGTGGACATGGACGTGGACATGGACGTGGACATGGACATGGACGTGGACATGGACGTGGACGTGGACATGGACGTGGACGTGGACGTGGACGTGGACGTTTGTGGACGTGGACGTGGACATGGACATGGACGTGGACATGGACGTGGACGTGGACGTGGACGTGGACGTGGTCGTGGACATGGTCGTGGACGTGGACGTGGTCGTGGACGTGGACGTGGACGTGGACATGGACGTGGACGTGGACGTGGACGTGGACGTGGACTTGGACGTGGACTTGGACGTGGACGTGGACGTGGACGTGGATGTGGACGTGGACGTGGACATGGACGTGGACGTGGACGTGGACGTGGACATGGACGTGGACATGGACGTGGACGTGGACATGGTTGTGGACATGGACACGGACGTGGACGTGGACGTGGACATGGACGTGGACGTGGACGTGGACGTGGACATGGAGATGGACGTGGACGTGGACGTGGACGATGGACGTGGACATGGTCGTGGACGTGGACATGGACGTGGACGTGGACGTGGACGTGGACATGGACATGGACGTGGATGTGGACGTGGACGTGGACGTGGACGTGTACGTGGACGTGGACCTGGACGTGGACGTGGACATGGACGTGGACGTGGAGGACTTGGACGTGGACGTGGACGTGGACGTGGACGTGGACGTGGATAAGAACGTGGACATGGACATGGACGTGGACGTGGACGTGGACGTGGACATGGACGTGGACGTGGACGTGGACATGGACGTGGACGTGGACATGGACATGGACGTGGACATGGACTGGGACGTGACGTGGACATGGACGTGGACGTGGACGTGGACATGGACGTGGACAGTGGATGGGACTTGTGGACGTGGACATGGACGTAGACGTGGACGTGGACGTGGACATGGACGTTGACGTGGTCGTGGACGTGGACGTGGACATGGACATGGACGTGGACGTGGACGTGGACATGGATGTGGACGTGGACGTGGACGTGGACGTGGACGTGGACGTGGACATGGACGTGGACGTGGACGTGGTTGGGACGTGGACGTGGACGTGGACGTGGACGTGGACATGGACGTGGATGTGGACGTGGACGTGGACATGGACATGGACGTGGACATGGACATGGACGTGGACGTGGACATGGACGTGGACATGGACGTGGACATGGACGTGGACGTGGACGTGGAGATGGACGTGGACATGGACGTGGACGTGGACGTGGACGTGGACGTGGACGTGGACGTGGACATGGACATGGACGTGGACATGGACGTGGACGTGGACGTGGACGTGGACGTGGTCGTGGACATGGTCGGACGTGGACGTGGACGTGGACGTGGACGTGGACGTGGACGTGGACATGGACGTGGACATGGACGTGGACGTGGACGTGGACGTGGACGTGGACTTGGACGTGGACGTGGACGTGGACGTTGGACGTGGACGTGGACATGGACGTGGACGTGGACGTGGACGTGGACGTGGACGTGGACATGGACGTGGACTTGACGTGGACGTGGACGTGGACATGGACGTGGACATGGTCGTGGACGTGGACATGGACGTGGACATGGACATGGTCGTGGACGTGGACATGGACATGGACGTGGACGTGGACGTGGACGTGGACATGGAGATGGACGTGGACGTGGACGTGGACGAGGACGTGGACATGGTCGTGGACGTGGACATGGTCGTGGACGTGGACGTGGACATGGACGTGGACGTGGACGTGGACATGGACATGGACGTGGACATGGACATGGACGTGGACGTGGACGTGGACGTGGACGTGGACATGGACGTGGACGTGGACATGGACGTGGGTCGTGGACGTGGACATGGACATGGACGTGGACGTGACGTGGACATGGACGTGGACGTGGACGTGGACGTGGACCTGGACGTGGACGTGAACATGGACGTGGACGTGGAGGACTTGGACGTGGACATGGACGTGGACGTGGACGTGGGACCTGGACAAGGACGTGGACGTGGACATGGACAGGACGTGGACATGGACGTGGACGTGGACGTGGACGTGGACATGGACGTGGACGTGGACGTGGACATGGACGTGGACGTGGACGTGGACATGGACGTGGACGTGGACGTGGACGTGGACGTGGACATGGACATGGACATGGACGTGGACATGGACGTGGACGTGGACATGGAAGTGACATGGACGTGGACGTGGACGTGGACGTGGACATGGACTGGACGTGGACGTGGACGTGGACGTGGACGTGGACCTGGACATGGACTTGGCGTGGACGTAGACGTGGACGTGGACGTGGACATGGTCGTGGACGTGGACACGGTCGTGGAACGTGGGACATGGTCGTGGAACGTGGACATGGTCGTGGACCTGTGGACATGGACGTGGATGTGGACGAGGACGTGGACGTGGACATGGACGTGGACGTGGACGTGGACGTGGACATGGTCGTGGACATGGACGTGGACGTGGACGTGGACAATGGACATGGACTTGGACGTGGACATGGACGTGGACGTGGACGTGGACGTGGACGTGGTCGTGGACGTGGTTGTGGACATGGACGTGGACGAGGAGGTGGACGTGACGTGGACGTGGACGTGGACGTGGTCGGGGACGTGGTCGTGGACGGAGTGGACGTGGTCGTGGACGTGTCGTGACGTGGACGTGGTCGTGGACGTGGACGTGGACGTGGACGTGGATGTGGACGTGGACGTGGACGTGGACATGGACGTGGACGTGGACGTGGACTTGGACGTGGACGTGGACGTGGACATGGACTTGGACGTGGACGTGGACGTGGACATGGACGTGGACGTGGACGTGGACGTGGAGGTCGACGTGGACGTGGACGTGGACATGGACGTGGACATGGACGTGGACGTGGACGTGGACGTGGACATGGACATGGACGTGGACGTGGACGTGGACGTGGACATGGACGTGGACATGGACATGGAAATGGACATGGACGTGGACATGGACGTGGACGTGGACGTGGACATGGACCTGGACGTGGACGTGGAAGTGGACGTGACGTGGAAGTGGACATGGTCATGGACGTGGACACGGTCGTGGACGTGGACATGGTCGTGGACATGGACATGGTCGTGGATGTGGACATGGACGTGGACGAGGACGTGGACGTGGACGTAGACGTGGACGTGGACATGGACATGCACGTGGACGTGGACGGGGACGTCGACGTGGACGTGGACATGGTCGTGGACGTGGACGTGGACGTGGAGGTAGACGTGGACTTGGACGTGGACATGGACGTGGACGTGGACATAGATGTGGACGTGGACGTGGACGTGGACGTGGACGTGGACTTGGTTGTGGACGTGGTCGTGGACATGGACGTGGAAGTGGAGGTGGACATGGATGAGTACGTGGACGTGGACGTGGACGTGGTCGTGGACGTGGTCGTGGACGTGGACGTGGTCGTGGACGTGGACGTGGACGTGGACATGGACATGGACGTGGACGTGGACTTGGACGTGGACGTTGACATGGACTTGGACGTGGACGTGGACGTGGACATGGATGTGGACGTGGACGTGGACGTGGACGTGGACGTCGACGTGGACGTGGACATGGACATGGACGTGGACGTGGACGTGGACGTGGACGTGGACATGGACGTGGACATGGACATGGACGTGGACATGGATGTGGACATGGACGTGGACCTGGACGTGGACGTGGACGTGGATGTGGTCGTGGACGTGGTCGTGGACATGGACATGGACGTGGACATGGACGTGGACGTGGACGTGGACGTGGATGTGGACGTGGTCGTTGACATGGTCGTGGACGTGGACGTGGTCGTGGACGTGGACGTGGACGTGGACGTGAACGTGGAAGTGGACATGGACGAGGACATGGACGTGGACGTGGACGTGGACTTGGACGTGGACGTGGACGTGGACATGGACTTGGACGTGGACGTGGACGTGGACATGGACGTGGACGTGGACGTGGACGTGGACGTGGACATGGACGTGGACGTGGACGTGGACATGGACGTGGACATGGACGTGGACATGGACATGGACGTGGACATGGACGTGGACATGGACGTGGACGTGGACATGGACGTGGACATGGACGTGGATATGGACATGGACGTGGACATGGACATGGACGTGGACATGGACGTAGACGTGGACGTGGACATGGACATGGACGTTGACGTGGTCGTGGACGTGGTCGTGGACATGGACATGGACGTGGACGTGGACGTGGACATGGATGTGGACGTGGACGTGGACGTGGACGTGGACGTGGACATGGTCGTCGACGTGGACGTGGACGTAGACGTGGACGTGGACGTGGACATGGACGTGGATGTGGACATGGACGTGGATCTGGACGTGGACGTGGACATGGACATGGACGTGGACATGGACATGGACGTGGACGTGGACATGGATGTGGACATGGACGTGGACATGGACATGGACGTGGACATGGACATGGACGTGGACATGGACGTAGACGTGGACGTGGACGTGGACGTGGACGTGGACGTGGTCGTGGACGTGGTCGTGGACATAGACATGGACGTGGACATGGACGTGGACGTGGACGTGGACGTGGACGTGGTCGTGACATGTCCGGGACGTGGTCGTGGACGTGGACGTGGACGTGGACGTGGACGTGGACGTGGACGTGGACGTGGACATGGACGTGGACATGGACGTGGACGTGGACGTGGACGTGGACGTGGACGTGGACTTGGACGTGGACGTGGACGTGGACATGGACGTGGACGTGGACGTGGACATGGATGTGGACGTGGACATGGACGTGGACGTGGACATGGACGTGGACGTGGACATGGACGTGGACGTGGACATGGACGTGGACGTGGACATGGACGTGGAAGTGGACGTGGACATGGATGTGGACGTGGACGTGGACGTGGACGTGGACGTGGACGTGGACATGGTCGTGGACGTGGACGTGGACGTGGACGTGGACATGGACGTGGATGTGGACGTGGACGTGGACATAGACATGGACGTGGACGTGGACATGGACGTGGACGTGGACATGGACGTGGACATGGACGTGGACATGGACATGGACGTGGACATGGAGATGGACGTGGACATGGACGTGGACGTGGACGTGGACGTGGTCGTGGACGTGGTCGTGGACATGGACATGGACGTGGACATGGACGTGGACGTGGACGTGGACGTGGTCGTGGACATGGTCGTGGACGTGGACGTGGTCGTGGACGTGGACGTGGACGTGGACATAGACGTGGACATGGACGTGGACGTGGACGTGGACTTGGACGTGGACTTGGACGTGGACGTGGACGTGGACTTGGACGTGGACGTGGACATGGACGTGGACGTGGACGTGGATGTGGACATGGACGTGGACGTGGACATGGACGTGGACGTGGACGTGGACATGGACGTGGACATGGTCGTGGACGTGGACATGGTTGTGGACATGGACAAGGTCGTGGACGTGGACATGGACATAGAAGTGGACGTGGACGTGGACATGGAGATGGACGTGGACGTGGACGAGGACGTGGACATGGTCGTGGACGTGGACATGGTCGTGGACGTGGACGTGGACGTGCACGTGGACATGGACATGGACGTGGACGTGGACGTGGACATGGACGTGGACGTGTACGTGGACGTGGACCTGGACGTGGACGTGAACATGGACGTGGACGTGGAGGACTTGGACGTGGACATGGACGTGGACGTGGACGTGGACCTGGATAAGGACGTGGACATGGACATGGACGTGGACGTGGACATGGACGTGGACGTGGACATGGACGTGGACATGGACGTGGACGTGGACATGGACGTGGACGTGGACGTGGACATGGACGTGGACGTGGACGTGGACGTGGACATGGACATGGACATGGACGTGGACATGGACGTGGACGTGGACATGGAAGTGGACATGGACGTGGACGTGGACGTGGACGTGGACATGGACATGGACGTGGACGTGGACGTGGACGTGGACGTGGACCTGGACATGGACGTTGCATGGACGTAGACGTGGACGTGGACGTGGACATGGTCGTGGACGTGGACACGGTCGTGGACGTGGACATGGTCGTGGACGTGGACGTGGTCGTGGATGTGGACGTGGATGTGGACGAGGACGTGGACGTGGACATGGACGTGGACGTGGACGTGGACGTGGACATGGTCGTGGACGTGGACGTGGACGTGGACGTGGACGTGGACATGGACATGGACGTGGACATGGACGTGGACGTGGACGTGGACGTGGACATGGACATGGACGTGGACATGGACATGGACGTGGACGTGGACATGGACGTGGACATGGACGTGGACATGGACATGGACGTGGACATGGACTTGGACGTGGACATGGACGTGGACGTGGACGTGGACGTGGACGTGGACGTGGTCGTGGACGTGGTTGTGGACATGGACGTGGACGAGGAGGTGGACGTGGACGTGGACGTGGACGAGGACGTGGTCGTGGACGTGGTCGTGGACGTGGACGTGGACGTGGTCGTGGACGTGGACGTGGACGTGGACGTGGATGTGGTCGTGGACGTGGACGTGGACATGGACGTGGACGTGGACGTGGACTTGGACGTGGACGTGGACGTGGACATGGACTTGGACGTGGACGTGGACGTGGAGGTCGACGTGGACGTGGACGTGGACATGGACGTGGACATGGACGTGGACGTGGACGTGGACGTGGACATGGACATGGACGTGGATGTGGACGTGGACATGGACGTGGACGTGGACATGGACATGGAAATGGACATGGACGTGGACATGGACGTGGACGTGGACGTGGATATGGACCTGGACGTGGACGTGGAAGTGGACGTGACGTGGAAGTGGACATGGTCGTGGACGTGGACACGGTCGTGGACGTGGACATGGTCGTGGACATGGACATGGTCGTGGATGTGGACATGGACGTGGACGAGGACGTGGACGTGGACGTAGACGTGGACGTGGACATGGACGTGCACGTGGACGTGAACGGGGACGTGGACGTGGACGTGGACATGGTCGTGGACGTGGACGTGGACGTGGACGTGGACGTGGACTTGGACGTGGACATGGACGTGGACGTGGACATAGATGTGACTGGACGTGGACGTGGACGTGGACGTGGACTTGGTTGTGGACGTGGTCGTGGACATGGACGTGGAAGTGGAGGTGGACATGGATGAGTACGTGGACGTCGACGTGGACGTGGTCGTGAACGTGGTCGTGGACGTGGACGTGGTCGTGGACGTGGACGTGGACGTGGACGTGGACATGGACATGGACGTGGACGTGGACTTGGACGTGGACGTTGACATGGACTTGGACGTGGACGTGGACATGGACATGGATGTGGACGTGGACGTGGACGTGGACGTGGACGTCGACGTGGACGTGGACATGGACATGGACGTGGACGTGGACGTGGACGTGGACATGGACGTGGACATGGACATGGATGTGGACATGGACGTGGACATGGACGTGGACCTGGACGTGGACGTGGACGTGGCAAGGTCGTGGACGTGGTCGTGGACATGGACATGGACGTGGACATGGACATGGACGTGGACGTGGACGTAGATGTGGACGTGGTCGTTGACATGGTCGTGGACGTGGACGTGGTCGTGGACGTGGACGTGGACGTGGACGTGAACGTGGAAGTGGACATGGACGAGGACATGGACGTGGACGTGGACGTGGACTTGGACGTGGACGTGGACATGGACTTGGACGTCGACGTGGACGTGGACGTGGACATGGACGTGGACGTGGACGTGGACGTGGACGTGGACATGGACGTGGACGTGGACGTGGACGTGGACATGGACGTGGACATGGACGTGGACATGGACATGGACGTGGACATGGACGTGGACATGGACGTGGACGTGGACATGGACGTGGACATGGACGTGGACATGGACATGGACGTGGACATGGACATGGACGTGGACATGGACGTAGACAAGGACGTGGACATGGACATGGACGTTGACGTGGTCGTGGACGTGGTCGTGGACATGGACATGGACGTGGACGTGGACGTGGACATGGATGTGGACGTGGACGTGGACGTGGACGTGGACGTGGACATGGTCGTCGACGTGGACGTGGACGTAGACGTGGACGGTGACGTGGACATGGACGTGGATGTAGACATGGACGTGGATCTGGACGTGGACGTGGACATGGACATGGACGTGGACATGGACATGGACGTGGACGTGGACATGGACGTGGACATGGACGTGGACATGGACATGGACGTGGACATGGACATGGACGTGGACATGGACGTAGACGTGGACGTGGACGTGGACGTGGACGTGGACGTGGTTGTGGACGTGGTCGTGGACATAGACATGGACGTGGACATGGACGTGGACGTGGACGTGGACGTGGACGTGGTCGTGGACATGGTCGTGGACGTGGACGTGGTCGTGGACGTGGACGTGGACGTGGACGTGGACGTGGACATGGACGTGGACATGGACGTGGACGTGGACGTGGACGTGGACGTGGACTTGGACGTGGACGTGGACGTGGACATGGACGTCGACGTGGACGTGGACGTGGACGTGGACGTGGACATGGACGTGGACATGGACGTGGACGTGGACATGACGTGACATGGACGTGGACATGGACATCGACGTGGACATGGACGTGGACATGGACGTGCACGTGGACATGGACGTGGACATGGACGTGGACATGGACATGGACGTGGACATGGACATGGACGTGGACATGGACGTAGACATGGACGTGGACATGGACATGGACGTTGACGTGGTCGTGGACGTGGTCGTGGACATGGACATGGACGTGGACATGGACGTGGACGTGGATGTGGACGTGGTCGTGGACGTGGACATGGTCGTGGACGTGGACGTGGACGTAGACGTGGACGTGGACGTGGACATGGACGTGGACGTGGACATGGACGTGGACGTGGACGTGGACGTGGACATGGACATGGACGTGGACATGGACATGGACGTGGACGTGGACATGGACGTGGACATGGACGTGGACGTGGATGTGGACGTGGACGTGGACATGGACGTCGACATGGACGTGGACATGGACATGGACGTGGGAATGGACATGGACGTGGACATGGACGTGGACGTGGACGTGGACGTGGACATGGACGTGGACGTGGTCGTGGACGTGGTCGTAGACATGGACATGGAGGTGGACATGGACGTGGACGTGGACGTGGACGTGGTCGTGGACATGGTCGTGGACGTGGAGGTGGTCGTGGACGTGGACGTGGACGTGGTCGTGGACGTGGACGTGGAAGTGGACATGGATGTGGACATGGACGTGGACGTGGACTTGGACGTGGACGTGGACGTGGACATGAACTTGGACGTGGACGTGGACGTGGACATGGACGTGGACGTGGGCGTGGACGTGGACGTGGACATGGACATGGACGTGGACGTGGACGTGGACGTGGACATGGACGTGGACGTGGACGTGGATGTGGACGTGGAAGTGGACATGGACGTGGACAATGGACGTGGACGTGGACGTGGACTTGGACGTGGACGTGGACGTGGACATGGGACTTGGACTGTGACTACGTGGACGTGGACGTGGACGTGGACATGGTCGTGGACGTGGACATGGTTTGTGGACATGGACATGGTCGTGGACGTGGACGTGGACATGGACGTGGACGTGGACGTGGACGTGGACGTCGACTTGGACGTGGACGTGGACGTGGACGTGGACGAGGACGTGGACATGGTCGTGGACGTGGACGTGGAGGTGGACATGGACATGGACGTGGACATGGACATGGACGTGGACGTGGACATGGACGTGGACATGGACGTGGACATGGACATGGACGTGGACATGGACATGGACGTGGACATGGACGTAGACGTGGACGTGGACATGGACATGGACGTTGACGTGGTCGTGGACGTGGTCGTGGACATGGACATGGACGTGCACGTGGACGTGGACATGGATGTGGACGTGGATGTGGACGTGGACGTGGACGTGGACATGGTCGTGGACGTGGACGTGGACGTAGACGTGGACGTGGACGTGGACATGGACGTGGATGTGGACATGGACGTGGATGTGGACGTGGACGTGGACATGAACATGGACGTGGACATGGACATCGACTTGGACGTGGACATGGATGTGGACATGGACGTGGACATGGACATGGACGTGGACATGGACGTGGACATGGACGTGGACGTGGACGTGGACGTGGACGAGGACGTGGTCGTGGACGTGGTCGTGGACATGGACATGGACGTGGACATGGACGTGGACGTGGACGTGGACGTGGCAAGGTCGTGGACATGGTCGTGGACGTGGACGTGGACGTGGACGTGGACGTGGAAGTGGACCATGGACGTGGACATGGACGTGGACCGTGGACGTGACTTGGACGTGGACGTGGACGTGGACATGGACTTGGACGTGGACGTGGACGTGGACATGGACGTGGACGTGGACATGGACGTGGACGTGGACATGGACGTGGACGTGGACGTGGACGTGGACGTGACGTGGACATGGACGTGGACATGGACGTGGACATGGACGTGGACGTGGACATGGACGTGGACATGGACATGGACGTGGACATGGACGTGGACATGGACGTGGACATGGACATGGACGTGGACATGGACATGGACGTGGACATGGACGTAGACGTGTACGTGGACATGGACATGGACGTTGACGTGGTCGTGGACGTGGTCGTGGACATGGACGTGGACGTGGACGTGGACGTAGACGTGGACGTGGACGTGGACATGGATGTGGACAAGGATGTGGACATGGATGTGGACATGGATGTGGACATGGACGTGGACGTGGACATGGATGTGGACGTAGACGTGGACGTGGACGTGGACGTGGACGTGGACGTGGACATGGTCGAGGACGTGGACGTGGACGTAGACGTGGACGTGGACGTGGACATGGACGTGGATGTGGACATGGACGTGGATGTGGACGTGGACGTGGACATGGACATGGACGTGGACATGGACATGGACGTGGACGTGGACATGGACGTGGACATGGACGTGGACATGGACATGGACGTGGACATGGACATGGACGTGGACATGGACGTGGACGTGGACGTGGACGTGGACGTTGTCGTGGACGTGGTCGTGGACATGGACATGGACGTGGACATGCACGTGGACGTCGATGTGGACGTGGACGTGGTCGTGGACATGGTCGTGGACGTGGAGGTGGTCGTGGACGTGGACGTAGACGTGGACGTGGACGTGGACGTGGAAGTGGACATGGACGTGGACGTGGACGTGGAAGTGGACTTGGACGTGGACGTGGACATGGACGTGGACTTGGACATGGACGTGGACGTGGACATGGACGTGGACGTGGACGTGGACGTGGAGGTGGACGTGGACGTGGACGTGGACGTGGACATGGACGTGGACGTGGACGTGGACGTGGACGTGGAAGTGGACGTGGACGTGGACGTGGAAGTGGACATGGACGTGGACGTGGACGTGGACGTGGACGTGGACTTGGACGTGGACGTGGACGTGGACATGGACATGGACGTGGACATGGACATGGACGTGGACATGGACGTAGACGTGGACGTGGACATGGACATGGACGTTGACGTGGTCGTGGACGTGGTCGTGGACATGGACATGGACGTGCACGTGGACGTGGACATGGATGTGGACGTGGATGTGGACGTGGACGTGGACGTGGACATGGTCGTGGACGTGGACGTGGACGTAGACGTGGACGTGGACGTGGACATGGACGTGGATGTGGACATGGACGTGGATGTGGACGTGGACGTGGACATGAACATGGACGTGGACATGGACATCGACTTGGACGTGGACATGGATGTGGACATGGACGTGGACATGGACATGGACGTGGACATGGACGTGGACATGGACGTGGACGTGGACGTGGACGTGGACGAGGACGTGGTCGTGGACGTGGTCGTGGACATGGACATGGACGTGGACATGGACGTGGACGTGGACGTGGACGTGGCAAGGTCGTGGACATGGTCGTGGACGTGGACGTGGACGTGGACGTGGACGTGGAAGTGGACATGGACGTGGACATGGACGTGGACGTGGACGTGGACTTGGACGTGGACGTGGACGTGGACATGGACATGGACGTGGACGTGGACGTGGACATGGACGTGGACGTGGACATGGACGTGGACGTGGACATGGACGTGGACGTGGACGTGGACGTGGACGTGGACGTGGACATGGACGTGGACATGGACGTGGACATGGACGTGGACGTGGACATGGACGTGGACATGGACATGGACGTGGACATGGACGTGGACATGGACGTGGACATGGACATGGACGTGGACATGGACATGGACGTGGACATGGACGTAGACGTGTACGTGGACATGGACATGGACGTTGACGTGGTCGTGGACGTGGTCGTGGACATGGACGTGGACGTGGACGTGGACGTAGACGTGGACGTGGACGTGGACATGGATGTGGACAAGGATGTGGACATGGATGTGGACATGGATGTGGACATGGACGTGGACGTGGACATGGATGTGGACGTAGACGTGGACGTGGACGTGGACGTGGACGTGGACGTGGACATGGTCGAGGACGTGGACGTGGACGTAGACGTGGACGTGGACGTGGACATGGACGTGGATGTGGACATGGACGTGGATGTGGACGTGGACGTGGACATGGACATGGACGTGGACATGGACATGGACGTGGACGTGGACATGGACGTGGACATGGACGTGGACATGGACATGGACGTGGACATGGACATGGACGTGGACATGGACGTGGACGTGGACGTGGACGTGGACGTTGTCGTGGACGTGGTCGTGGACATGGACATGGACGTGGACATGCACGTGGACGTGGATGTGGACGTGGACGTGGTCGTGGACATGGTCGTGGACGTGGAGGTGGTCGTGGACGTGGACGTAGACGTGGACGTGGACGTGGACGTGGAAGTGGACATGGACGTGGACGTGGACGTGGAAGTGGACTTGGACGTGGACGTGGACATGGACGTGGACTTGGACATGGACGTGGACGTGGACATGGACGTGGACGTGGACGTGGACGTGGAGGTGGACGTGGACGTGGACGTGGACGTGGACATGGACGTGGACGTGGACGTGGACGTGGACGTGGAAGTGGACGTGGACGTGGACGTGGAAGTGGACATGGACGTGGACGTGGACGTGGACGAAGACGTGGACTTGGACGTGGACGTGGACGTGGACATGGACTTGGACGTGGACGTGGACGTGGACATGGACGTGGACGTGGACGTGGACGTGGACGTGGACATGGTCGTGGACGTGGACATGGTCGTGGACGTGGACATGGTCGTGGACGTGGACGTGGACATGGACGTGGACGTGGACGTGGACGTGGACGTGGACATGGACGTGGACTTGGACGTGGACGTGGACGTGGACTTGGACGTGGACGTGGACGTGGACATGGACTTGGACGTGGACGTGGACGTGGACATGGACGTGGACGTGGACGTGGACGTGGACGTAGAAAGGTCGTGGACGTGGACATGGTTGTGGCATGGACATGGTCGTGGACGTGGACATGGACATGGACGTGGACGTGGACGTGGACATGGACATGGACGTGGACGTGGACGTGGACGTGGACGAGGACGTGGACATGGTCGTGGACGTGGACATGGTCGTGGACGTGTACGTGGACGTGGACGTGGACGTGGACATGGACGTGGACGTTGACGTGGACGTGGACGTGGACATGGACGTGGACGTGGACGTGGACGTGGACCTGGAAGTGGACGTGAACATGGACGTGGACGTGGAGGACTTGGACGTGGACATGGACGTGGACGTGGACGTGGACGTGGACCTGGACGTGGATGTGGATATGGACGTGGACATGGACATGGACGTGGATATGGACGTGGACGTGGACATGGACGTGGACGTGGACATGGATGTGGACGTGGACGTGGACGTGGACATGGACGTGGATGTGGACTTGGACGTGGACGTGGACATGGACGTGGACGTGGACGTGGACATGGACGTGGACATGGACTGACGTGGACGTGGACGTGGACATGGACGTGGACGTGGACATGGACGTGGACGTGGACGTGGACGTGGACATGGACGTGGACATGGACGTGGACATGGACGTGGACGTGGACATGGACGTGGACATGGACGTGGACGTGGACGTGGACATGGACATGGACGTGGACGTGGACGTGGACGTGGACATGGACGTGGACGTGGACGTGTACGTGGACATGGACGTGGATGTGGACTTGGACGTGGACGTGGATATGGACGTCGACATGGTCATGGACGTGGACGTGGACGTGGATGTGGACTTGGACTTGGACGTGGACGTGGACGTGGACGTGGACATGGACGTGGACGTGGACGTGGACGTGGACGAGGACGTGGACGTGGACGAAGACGTGGACATGGACGTGGACGTGGACGTGGACGTGGACATGGACGTGGACATGGACGTGGACGTGGACGTGGACGTGGACGTGGACATGGACGTGGACGTGGACGTGGACGTGGGCATGGACATGGACGTGGACGTGGACGTGGACGTGGGCGTGGACATGGATGTGGACGTGGACGTGGACTGGGACGTGGACGTGGACATGGACATGGACGTGGACGTGGACATGGACATGGACGTGGACGTGGACGAGGACGTGGACATGGTCGTGGACGTGGACATGGTCGTGGACGTGTACGTGGACGTGGACGTGGACGTGGACATGGACGTGGACGTGGACGTGGACGTGGACATGGTCGTGGACGTGGAGACGGTCTTGGACGTGGACATGGTCGTGGACGTGGACGTGGACGAGGACGTGGACGTGGACGTGGACGTGGACGAGGACGAGGACGTGGACGTAGACGTGGACATGGACGTGGATGTGGATGTGGACGTGGACGTGGACATGGACGTGGACATGGACGTGGACGTGGACGTGGACGTGGACGTGGACATGGACGTGGACGTGGACGAGGACGTGGACGTGGACGTAGACGTGGACATGGACGTAGGCGTGGACGTGGACGTGGACATGGACGTGGACATGGACGTGGACGTGGACGTGGACGTGGACGTGGACGTGGACATGAACGTGGACGTGGACATGGACGTGGACGTTGACGTGGAGATGGACATGGACGTGGACGTGGACGTGGACGTGGACATGGATGTGGACATGGACATGGACGTGGACATGGACGTGGACATGGACGTGGACATGGACGTGGACGTGGACGTGGACGTGGACCTGGACATGGACGTGGACGTGGACGAAGACGTGGACGTGGACATGGTCGTGGACGTGGAGATGGTCTTGGACGTGGACATGGTCGTGGACGTGGACATGGTCGTGGATGTGAACGTGGACGTGGACGAAGACGTGGACGTGGACGTGAACGTGGACGTGGACATGGATGTGGACGTGGACGTGGACATGGACGTGGACATGGTCGTGGACGTGGATATGGTTGTGGACGTGGACATGGTCGTGGACGTGGACGTGGACGTGGACGTGGACATGGACGTGGCCATGGACGTGGACGTGGACGTGGACGTGGACGAGGACGTGGACATGGTCGTGGACGTGGACATGGTCGTGGACGTGGACGTGGACGTGGATGTGGACATGGACGTGGACGTGGACGTGGACATTGACGTGGACGTGGACGTGGACGTGGACCTGGACGTGGACGTGAACATGGACGTGGACGTGGAGGACTTGGACGTGGACATGGACGTGGATATGGACGTGGACCTGGATAAGGACGTGGACATGGACTTGGACGTGGACATGGACGTGGATGTGGACATGGACGTGGACATGGACTGACGTGGACGTGGACATGGACATAGACGTGGACGTGGACGTGGACATGGACGTGGACGTGGACGTGGACATGGACGTGGACATGGACGTGGACGTGGACGTGGACGTGGACGTGGACATGGACGTAGACGTGGACGAGGACGTGGACGTGGACGTAGACGTGGACATGGACGTAGACGTGGACGTGGACGTGGACGTGGACATGGACGTGGACATGGACGTGGACGTGGATGTGGACGTGGACGTGGATGTGGACATGGACGTGGACGTGGACATGGACGTGGACGTGGACGTGGACGTGGACATTGACATGGACGTGGACGTGGACGTGGACATAGATGTGGACATGGACATGGACGTGGACATGGACGTGGACATGGACGTCGACATGGACGTGGACGTGGACGTGGACGTGGACCTGGACATGGACGTGGACGTGGACGTGGACGTGGACATGGTCGTGGACGTGGAGACGGTCTTGGACGTGGACATGGTCGTGGACGTGGACATGGTCGTGGATGTGAACGTGGACGTGGACGAGGACGTGGACGTGGACGTGAACGTGGACGTGGACATGGATGTGGACGTGGACGTGGACATGGACGTGGACATGGTCGTGGACGTGGACATGGTTGTGGACGTGGACATGGTCGTGGACGTGGACGTGGACAAGGACGTGGACGTGGACGTGGACGTGAACATGGACATGGACGTGGACATGGACGAGGACGTGGACATGGTCGTGGACGTGGACATGGTCGTGGACGTGGACGTGGACGTGGATGTGGACATGGACGTGGACGTGGACGTGGACGTCGACATGGACGTGGACGTGGACGTGGACCTGGACGTGGACGTGAACATGGACGTGGACGTGGAGGACTTGGACGTGGATGTGGACGTGGACCTGGATAAGGACGTGGACATGGACGTGGACGTGGACGTGGATGTGGACATGGACGTGGATGTGGACGTGGACCTGGATAAGGACGTGGACATGGACGTGGACGTGGACATGGACGAGGACGTGGACGTGGACATGGACGTGGACATGGACTGAGGTGGACATGGACATGGACATGGACGTGGACGTGGACGTGGACATGGACGTGGACGTGGACGTGGACATGGACGTGGACATGGACGTGGACATGGACGTGGACGTGGACATGGACCTGGACATGGACGTGGACGTGGACGTGGACGTGGACATGGACGTGGACGTGGACGTGGACCTGGACGTGGACGTGGACATGGAAGTGGACATGGACGTGGACATGGACGTGGACGTGGACGTGGACTTGGACGTGGACGTGGACGTGGACATGGACTTGGACGTGGACGTGGACGTGGACATGGACGTGGACGTGGACATGGACGTGGACGTGGACATGGACGTGGACGTGGACGTGGACGTGGACGTGGACATGGACGTGGACATGGACGTGGACATGGACGTGGACGTGGACATGGACGTGGACATGGACATGGACGTGGACATGGACGTGGACATGGACGTGGACATGGACATGGACGTGGACATGGACATAGACGTGGACATGGACGTAGACGTGTACGTGGACATGGACATGGACGTTGACGTGGTCGTGGACGTGGTCGTGGACATGGACGTGGACGTGGACGTGGACGTAGACGTGGACGTGGACGTGGACATGGATGTGGACATGGATGTGGACATGGATGTGGACATGGATGTGGACATGGACGTGGACGTGGACATGGATGTGGACGTAGACGTGGACGTGGACGTGGACGTGGACGTGGACGTGGACGTGGACATGGTCGTGGACGTGGACGTGGACGTAGACGTGGACGTGGACGTGGACATGGACGTGGATGTGGACATGGACGTGGATGTGGACGTGGACGTGGACATGGACATGGACGTGGACATGGACATGGACGTGGACGTGGACATGGACGTGGACATGGACGTGGACATGGACATGGACGTGGACATGGACATGGACGTGGACATGGACGTGGACGTAGATGTGGACGTGGACGTTGTCGTGGACGTGGTCGTGGACATGGACATGGACGTGGACATGCACGTGGACGTGGATGTGGACGTGGACGTGGTCGTGGACATGGTCGTGGACGTGGAGGTGGTCGTGGACGTGGACGTAGACGTGGACGTGGACGTGGACGTGGAAGTGGACATGGACGTGGACATGGACGTGGACATGGACGTGGACTTGGACGTGGACGTGGACGTGGACATGGACTTGGACATGGACGTGGACGTGGACATGGACGTGGACGTGGACGTGGACGTGGAGGTGGACGTGGACGTGGACGTGGACGTGGACATGGACGTGGACGTGGACGTGGACGTGGACGTGGAAGTGGACATGGACGTGGACATGGACGTGGACGTGGACGTGGACTTGGACGTGGACGTGGACGTGGACATGGACTTGGACGTGGACGTGGACGTGGACATGGACGTGGACGTGGACGTGGACGTGGACGTGGACGTGGACATGGTCGTGGACGTGGACATGGTTGTGGACGTGGACATGGTCGTGGACGTGGACGTGGGCATGGACGTGGACGTGGACGTGGACGTGGACGTGGACATGGACGTGGACTTGGACGTGGACGTGGACGTGAACTTGGACGTGGACGTGGACGTGGACATGGACTTGGACGTGGACGTGGACGTGGACATGGACGTGGACGTGGACGTGGACGTGGACGTGGACGTAGAAAGGTCGTGGACGTGGACATGGTTGTGGCATGGACATGGTCGTGGACGTGGACATGGACATGGACGTGGACGTGGACGTGGACATGGACATGGACGTGGACGTGGACGTGGACGTGGACGAGGACGTGGACATGGTCGTGGACGTGGACATGGTCGTGGACGTGTACGTGGACGTGGACGTGGACGTGGACATGGACGTGGACGTTGACGTGGACGTGGACGTGGACATGGACGTGGACGTGGACGTGGACGTGGACCTGGACGTGGACGTGAACATGGACGTGGACGTGGAGGACTTGGACGTGGACATGGACGTGGACGTGGACGTGGACGTGGACCTGGACGTGGATGTGGATATGGACGTGGACATGGACATGGACGTGGATATGGACGTGGACGTGGACATGGACGTGGACGTGGACATGGATGTGGACGTGGACGTGGACGTGGACATGGACGTGGATGTGGACTTGGACGTGGACGTGGACATGGACGTGGACGTGGACTTGGACATGGACGTGGACATGGACTGACGTGGACGTGGACGTGGACATGGACGTGGACGTGGACATGGACGTGGACGTGGACGTGGACGTGGACATGGACGTGGACATGGACGTGGACATGGACGTGGACGTGGACATGAACGTGGACATGGACATGGACGTGGACGTGGACGTGGACGTGGACATGGACGTGGACGTGGACGTGTACGTGGACATGGACGTGGATGTGGACTTGGACGTGGACGTGGATATGGACGTGGACATGGTCATGGACGTGGACGTGGACGTGGATGTGGACTTGGACTTGGACGAGGACGTGGACGTGGACGTGGACATGGACGTGGACGTGGACATGGACGAGGACGTGGACGTGGACGAAGACGTGGACATGGACGTGGACGTGGACGTGGACGTGGACATGGACGTGGACATGGACGTGGACGTGGACGTGGACGTGGACATGGACGTGGACGTGGACGTGGACGTGGACGTGGGCATGGACATGGACGTGGACGTGGACGTGGACGTGGGCGTGGACATGGACGTGGACGTGGACGTGGACTGGGACGTGGACGTCGACATGGACATGGACGTGGACGTGGACATGGACTTGGACGTGGACGTGGACGAGGACGTGGACATGGTCGCGGACGTGGACATGGTCGTGGACGTGTACGTGGACGTGGACGTGGACGTGGACATGGACGTGGACGTGGACGTGGACGTGGACATGGTCGTGGACGTGGAGACGGTCTTGGACGTGGACATGGTCGTGGACGTGGACGTGGACGAGGACGTGGACGTGGACGTGGACGTGGACGTGGACGAGGACGAGGACGTGGACGTAGACGTGGACATGGACGTGGATGTGGATGTGGACGTGGACGTGGACATGGACGTGGACATGGACGTGGACGTGGACGTGGACGTGGACGTGGACATGGACGTGGACGTGGACGAGGACGTGGACGTGGACGTAGACGTGGACATGGACGTAGGCGTGGACGTGGACGTGGACATGGACGTGGACATGGACGTGGACGTGGACGTGGACGTGGACGTGGACATGAACGTGGACGTGGACGTGGACGTGGACGTTGACGTGGAGATGGACATGGACGTGGACGTGGACGTGGACGTGGACATGGATGTGAACATGGACATGGACGTGGACATGGACGTGGACATGGACGTGGACATGGACGTGGACGTGGACGTGGACGTGGACGTGGACCTGGACATGGACGTGGACGTGGACATGGATGTGGACGTGGACATGGTCGTGGACGTGGAGATGGTCTTGGACGTGGACATGGTCGTGGACGTGGACATGGTCGTGGATGTGAACGTGGACGTGGACGAAGACGTGGACGTGGACGTGAACGTGGACGTGGACATGGATGTGGACGTGGACGTGGACATGGACGTGGACATGGTCGTGGACGTGGATATGGTTGTGGACGTGGACATGGTCGTGGACGTGGACGTGGACGTGGACGTGGACGTGGACGTGGCCATGGACGTGGACGTGGACGTGGACGTGGACGAGGACGTGGACATGGTCGTGGACGTGGACATGGTCGTGGACGTGGACGTGGACGTGGATGTGGACATGGACGTGGACGTGGATGTGGACATTGACGTGGACGTGGACGTGGACGTGGACCTGGACGTGGACGTGAACATGGACGTGGACGTGGAGGACTTGGACGTGGACATGGACGTGGATGTGGACGTGGACCTGGATAAGGACGTGGACATGGACGTGGACGTGGACATGGACGTGGACGTGGACATGGACGTGGACATGGACTGACGTGGACGTGGACATGGACATAGACGTGGACGTGGACGTGGACATGGACGTGGACGTGGACGTGGACGTGGACATGGACGTGGACATGGACGTGGACGTGGACGTGGACGTGGACGTGGACATGGACGTAGACGTGGACGAGGACGTGGACGTGGACGTAGACGTGGACATGGACGTAGACGTGGACGTGGACGTGGACGTGGACATGGACGTGGACATGGACGTGGACGTGGATGTGGACGTGGACGTGGATGTGGACATGGACGTGGACGTGGACATGGACGTGGACGTGGACGTGGACGTGGACATTGACATGGACGTGGACGTGGACGTGGACGTGGACATAGATGTGGACATGGACATGGACGTGGACATGGATGTGGACATGGACGTCGACATGGACGTGGACGTGGACGTGGACGTGGACCTGGACATGGACGTGGACGTGGACGTGGACGTGGACATGGTCGTGGACGTGGAGACGGTCTTGGACGTGGACATGGTCGTGGACGTGGACATGGTCGTGGATGTGAACGTGGACGTGGACGAGGACGTGGACGTGGACGTGAACGTGGACGTGGACATGGATGTGGACGTGGACGTGGACATGGACGTGGACATGGTCGTGGACGTGGACATGGTTGTGGACGTGGACATGGTCGTGGACGTGGACGTGGACAAGGACGTGGACGTGGACGTGGACATGGACATGGACGTGGACGAGGACGTGGACATGGTCGTGGACGTGGACATGGTCGTGGACGTGGACGTGGACGTGGATGTGGACATGGACGTGGACGTGGACGTGGACGTGGACATGGACGTGGACGTGGACGTGGACCTGGACGTGGACGTGAACATGGACGTGGACGTGGAGGACTTGGACGTGGACATGGACGTGGACATGGACGTGGATGTGGACGTGGACCTGGATAAGGACGTGGACATGGACGTGGACGTGGACATGGACGAGGACGTGGACGTGGACATGGACGTGGACATGGACTGACGTGGACATGGACATGGACATGGACGTGCACGTGGACATGGACGTGGACATGGACGTGGACATGGACGTGGACGTGGACATGGACCTGGACATGGACGTGGACGTGGACGTGGACGTGGACATGGACGTGGACGTGGACGTGGACCTGGACGTGGACGTGGACATGGACGTGGACGTGGAGGACTTGGACGTGGACATGGACATGGACGTGGACGTGGACGTGGACGTGGACGTGGATGTGGACGTGGACGTGGACGTGGGTATGGACGTGGACATGGTCATGGACGTGGACGTGGACGTGGACGTGGACTTGGACTTGGACGTGGACGTGGACGTGGACATGGACGTGGACGTGGACGTTGACGTGGACGTGGACGAGGACGTGGACGTGGACGTAGACGTGGACATGGACGTGGACGTGGACGTGGACATGGACGTGGACATGGACGTGGACGAGGACGTGGACGTGGACGTGGACGTGGACGTGGACGTGGACATGGACGTGGACATGGACGTGGACATGGACGTGGACGTAGAGGTAGACGTGGACGTCGACGTGGACGTGGACGTGGACGTGGACATGGACGTGGACGTCGACGTGGACGTGGACGTGGTCGTGGACATGGACGTGGACGTGGACGTGGACATGGTCGTGGACGTGGACGTGGACATGAACGTGGACATGGACGTGGACGTGAACGTGGACGTGGACGTAGAAATGGACATGGACGTGGACGTGGACGTGGACGTGGACATGGACGTGGACATGGACGTGGACATGGACGTGGACGTGGACGTGGACATGGACGTGGACGTGGACGTGGACGTGGACGTGGTCGTGGACATGGACGTGGACGTGGACGTAGACGTGGACGTGGTCGTGGACATGGACGTGGACGTGGACGTGGACATGGTCGTGGACGTGGACGTGGACATGAACGTGGACATGGACGTGGACGTGAACGTGGACGTGGACGTGGACATGGACATGGACGTGGACGTGGACTTGGACGTAGACATGGTCGTGGACGTGGACGTGGACGTGGTCGTGGACGTGGACGTGGACGTGGACGTGGACGTGGACATGGACGTGGACGTGGACGTGGACATGGACGTGGACGTGGACGAGGAGGTGGACGTTGACGTGGACGTGGACGTGGACGTGGACTTGGACGTGGACGTGGACGTGGACATGGACGTGGACATGGACGTGGACATGGACGTGGACGTGGACGTAGACGTGGACGTGGACGTGGACAAGGACGTGGACGTGGACGTGGACGTGGACATGGACGTGGACGTGGACGTGGACATGGACGTGGACGTGGACGTGGACATGGACATGGACGTGGACGTGGACGTGGACGTGGACATGGACATGGACGTGGACGTGGACGTGGACGTAGACGTAGACGTGGACGTGGACGTGGACATGGACATGGACGTGGACGTGGACGTGGACGTGGACATGGTCGTGGACGTGGACGTGGACGTGGACATGGACGTGGACGTGGACGTGGACGTGGACGTGGACGTGGACATGGACATGGACATGGACGTGGACGTGGACCTGGACGTGGACATGGACATGGACGTGGACATGGACATGGACATGGACGTGGACGTGGACATGGACATGGACATCGACATGGACGTGGACGTGGACGTGGACGTGGACATGGACGTGGACATGGACATGGACGTGGACGTGGACGTGGACGTGGACATGGTCATGGACGTGGACGTGGACGTGGACGTGGACATGGACATGGACGTGGACGTGGACGTGGACGTGGACGTGGACGTGGACGTGGACGTGGACGTGGACGTGGACGTGGACATGGACATGGACGTGGACGTGGACGTGGACGTGGACATGGTCGTGGACGTGGACGTGGACATGGACGTGGACGTGGACGTGGACGTGGACATGGACGTGGACGTGGACGTGGACGTGGACGTGGACGTGGACGTGGACGTGGACATGGACGTGGACGTGGACATGGACGTGGACGTGGACGTGGACGTGGACGTGGACTTGGACGTGGACGTGGACGTGGACGTGGACGAGGACGTGGACGTGGACGTGGACGTGGACGTGGACGTGGACATGGACGTGGATGTGAACGTGGACGTGGACGTGGACGTGGACGTGGACGTGGACATGGACGTGGACGTGGACGAGGACGTGGACGTGGACATGGACATGGACGTGGACATGGACATGGACATGAACGTGGACGTGGACATGGACATGGACATGGACGTGGACGTGGACGTGGACGTGGACATGGACGTGGACGTGGACGTGGACGTGGACGTGGACGAGGACGTGGACGTGGACGTGGACGTGGACGTGGACATGGACGTGGACGTGAACGTGGACGTGGACGTGGACGTGGACGTGGACGTGGACGTGGACGTGGACATGGACGTGGACGTGGACGAGGACGTGGACGTGGACGTGGACGTAGACGTGGACATAGACATGGACGTGGACGTGGACGTGGACATGGACATGGACGTGGACGTGGACGAGGACGTGGACGTGGACATGGACGTGGACGTGGACGTGGACATGGACGTGGACATGGACGTGGACGTGGACGTGGACGTGGACATGGACGTGGACGAGGACGTGGACGTGGACATGGACATGGACGTGGACGTGGACGTGGACGTGGACATGGACGTGGACGTGGACATGGACGTGGACATGGACGTGGACGTGGACGTGGACATGGACGTGGACGTGGACATGGACGTGGACGTGGACGTGGACGTGGACGTGGACGTGGACATGGACGTGGACGTGGACATGGACGTGGACGTGGACATGGACGTGGACGTGGACATGGACGTGGACATGGACGTGGACGTGGACGTGGACATGGACGTGGACGTGGACATGGACGTGGACATGGACATGGACGTGGACGTGGACGTGGACGTGGACGATGACGTGGACGTGGACGTGGACGTGGACTTGGACGTGGACGTGGACGTGGACATGGACGTGGACATGGACGTGGACATGGACGTGGACGTGGACGTGGACGTGGACGTGGACATGGACGTAGACGTGGACGTGGACATGGACGTGGACGTGGACGTGGACGTGGACGTGGACATGGTCGTGGACGTGGACGTGGACATGGACGTGGACGTGGACGTGGACGTGGACGTGGACGTGGACGTGGACGTGGACCTGGACGTGGACGTGGACGTGGACGTGGACGTGGACGTGGACATGGACGTGGACGTGGACGTGGACGTGGACGTGGACATGGACGTGGACGTGGACGTGGACGTGGACGTGGACATGGACGTGGACGTGGACGTGGACGTGGACAGGGACGTGGACAGGGACGTGGACGTGGACGTGGACGTGGACGTGGACATGGACGTGGACGTGGACGTGGACGTGGACGTGGACGTGGACGAGGACGTGGACGTGGACGTGGACGTGGACGTGGACATGGACGTGGACGTGAACGTGGACGTGAACGTGGACGTGGACGTGGACGTGGACGTGGACATGGACGTGGACGTGGACGAGGACGTGGACGTGGACGTGGACGTGGACGTGGACATAGACATGGACGTGGACGTGGACGTGGACGTTGACATGGACGTGGACGTGGACGAGGACGTGGACGTGGACGTGGACATGGACGTGGACGTGGACGTGGACGTGGACGTGGACGTGGACGTGGACGTGGACGTGGACGTGGACGTGGACGAGGACGTGGACGTGGACGTGGACGTGGACGTGGACGTGGACATGGACGTGGACGTGGACGTGGACAAAAACGTGGACGTGGACGTGGACGTGGACATGGACGTGGACATGGACATGGACGTGGACGTGGACGTGGACGTGGACGTGGACATGGACGAGGACGTGGACGTGGACGTGGATGTGGCCATGGACGTGGACGATGACGTGGACGTGGACTTGGACGTGGACGAGGACGTGGACGTGGACATGGACGAGCACGTGGTGGACGTGGACGTGGACGTAGTCGTGGACGTGGTGGACGTGGACGTGGACTTAGTCGTGGACGTGGACGTGGACGTGGACGCGGTCGTGGACGTGGACGTAGACGTGGACGCGGTCGTGGACGCGGTCGTGGACGCGGTCGTGGACGCGGTCGTGGACGTGGACGTGGACGTGGACGTGGACATGGACGTGGAAGTGGACTTTGACGTGGTCGTGGACGTGGACGTGGACGTGGTCGTGGACGTGGACGTTGACATGGACGTGGACGTGGACGTGGACGTGGACGTGGACGTGGTCGTGGATGTGGACGTGAACGTGGAGTGGACGTGGACGTGGATGTCGACGTGGACGTGGACGTGGACATGGACGTGGACGTGGACGTGGACATGGACGTGGAGGTGGTCGTGGACGTGGACGTGGACGTCAACGTGGACGTGGACGTGGACCAGGACCTGGACGTGGACGTGGACTTGGCCGTGGACATGGACGGACGTGGACCTCGACGTGGTCGTGGACGTGGACGTGGACGTGGAAATGGACTTGGACGTGGACGTGCACGTGGATGTGGACTTGGATGTGGCCGTGGACGTGGACGCGGACATGGACGTGGACGTGGACCTGGACGTGGTCGTGGACGTGGACGTAGACGTGGACGTGGACGTGAACGTGGACGTGGTGGTGGACGTGGACGTGGACGTGGACGTGGTCGTGGACGTGAACGTGGACGTGGTCATGGACGTGGTCGTAGACGTGGACTTGGACATGGACGTGGACGTGGTCGTGGACGTGGACGTGGACATGGACGTGGACGTGGACGTGGACCTGGACGTGGTCGTGGACGTGGACGTGGACGTGGACGTGGACGTGGACGTGGTCGTTGACGTGGTAGTGGACGTGGACGTGGTTGTGGACGTGGACGTGGACGTGGACGTGGACGTGGATGTGGACGTGGACGTGGACGTAGACGTGGACGTTGACGTGGACGTGGACGTGGTCGTGGACTTAGACGTGGACGTGGACGTGGACGTGGTCGTGGACGTGGACGTCGACGTGGTCGTGGACGTGGACGTGGACGTGGACGTGGTCGTGGACGTGGACGTGGACCTGGTCGTGGACGTGGTCTTGGACGTGGACGTGGACCTGGACGTGGACGTGGACGTGGACGTGGACGTGGACGTGGTCGTGGACATGAACATGGACGTGGACGTGGACATGGACCTGGAGGTGGACCTGGACTTGGACGTGGACGTGGACGTGGACGTGGACATGGTCGTGGACGTGGACGTGGACGTGGACGTGGTCGTGGACGTGGACGTGGACGTTGTCGTGGTCGTGGACGTGGACGGACGTGGTCATGGACGTGGACGTGGACGTGGACGTGGACGTGGTCGTGGACGTGGACGTGGACGTGGACGTGGACGTGGACCTGGACATGGACCTGGACTTGGACGTGGACGTGGACGTGGACGTGGTCGTGGACGTGGACGTGGACGTGGTCGTGGACGTGGACGTGGACATGGACGTGGACGTGGACGTTGTCGTGGACGTGGACGTGGACGTGGTCGTGGTCGTGGACGTGGACGTGGACGTCATGGACGTGCACGTGGACCTGGTCGTGGACGTGGACCTGTATGTGAACGTGGACGTGGATGTGGACTTGGACGTGGACGTGGACGTGGACGTGGACGTGGTGGTGGACGTGGACGTGGACGTGGTCGTGGACGTGGACGTGGTCGTGGACATGGACGTGGACGTGGTGGACGTGGACGTGGTCGTGGACATGGACGTGGACGCGGTCGTGGACCTGGACGTGGACGCGGGCGTGGACGCGGTCGTGGACTTGGACGTGGACGCGGTCGTGGATGTGGACGTGGACGCGGTCGTGGATGCGGTCGTGGACGTGGACGTGGACGTGGTGGACGTGGACGTGGACGTGGACGTGGTCGTGGATGTGGACTTGGACATGGACGTGAACGTGGTGGACGTTGACGTGGACGTGGACGTGGACGTGGTCGTGGATGTGGACGAGGACGTGGTCGTGGACGTGGACGTGGCTGTGGACGTGGACGCGGACATGGACCTGGACGTGGACGTGGACGTGGATGTGGACGTGGACGTAACTTGGACGTGGACCTTGACGTGGACGTGGACGTGGACGTGGTCGTGGACGTGGACATGGACGTGGACGTGGACGGGGTCGTGGACGTGGACATGGACGTGGTCGTGGACGTGGACATGGACGCGGACATGGACGTGGACGTGGACGTGGACGGGGTCGTAGACGTGGTGGACGTGGTCGTGGACGTGGAAATGGACGTGGACGTGGACGGGGTCGTAGACGTGGTGGACGTGGTCGTGGACGTGGTCGTGGACGTGGTTGTGGACGTGGACGTGGTCGTGGACGTGAACGTGGACAGGGACATGGACGTGGTCGTGGACGTGGACGTGGACGTGGACGTGGTGGACGTGGTCGTTGACGTGGACTTGGACGTGGTGGACGTGGACGTGGACGTGGACGTGGTCGTGGACGTGGACGTGGACATGGACGTGGACGTGGACGTGGACGTGGACGTGGACGTGGTCGTGGACGTGGACGTGGTCGTGGACGTGGACGTGGACGTGGTCTTGGACGTGGTCTTGGACCTGGACCTGGACGTGGACGTGGACATGGTCGTGGACGTGGACGTGGACGTGGTCGTGGACGTGGACGTGGACTTGGACGTGGACGTGGACGTGGACTTCGACGTGGACGTGGTCGTGGACGTGGACGTGGACGCAGTCGTGGACGCGGTCCTGGACGTGGATGTGGACGTGGTGGACGTGGACGTGGACGTGGTCTTGGACGTGGACTTGGATGTGGACGTGGACGTGGTCGACGTTGACGTGGACGTGGACGTGGACGCAAACGTGGACGTGGTCGTGGACGTGGACGTGGACGTGGTCGTGGACGTGGCATGGACGTGGACGTGGACGTAAACGTGGACGTGGACCTGGACGTGGACGTGGACGTTGTCGTGGACGTGGACGTGGACGTGGACGTTGTCGTTGTCGTGGACGTGGACGTGGAGGTGGACGTGGACGTGGACCTGGACCTGGACGTGGGCGCCGACGTGGACGTGGACGTGGTGGACTTGGACGTGGACAAGGACGTGGTCGTGGACGTGAAGGTGAACGTGGTCTTGGACGTGGACGTGGACATGGACGTGGACGTGGTCGTGGACGTGAACGTGGACGTGGACATGGACGTGGTCGTGGACGTGGACGTGGAGGTGGACGTGGACGTGGACGTGGACGTGGTCACGGACGTGGACGTGGTGGACGTGGACGTGGACGTGGTCGTCGCTGGGTCGTGGACGTGGTCGTCGACGTAGTCGTGGACGTGGACGTGAACGTAGACGTGGACGTGGTCGTGGACGTGGATATGGATGTGGTTGTGGACGTGGCATGGACGTGGTCGTGGACGTGGACGTGGACCTGGACGTGGACAGGGACGTGGACGTGGACGTGGACGTGGACTTTGACGTGGACGTGGACGTGGTCGTGGACATGGACGTGGACTTGGACTTGGACGTGGACGTGGTCGTGGACTTGGACGTGGACTTGGACGTGGTCGTGGACATGGACGTGGACGTGGACGTAGACGTGGTCGTGGACGTGGACGTGGTCGTGGACGTGGTCGTGGTCGTGGACGTGGACGTGGACGTAGTGGACGCGGTCGTAGACGTGGTCGTGGACGTGGACCTGGATGCGGTCGTGGACGTGGACGTGGACGTGGACGCGGTCGTGGACGTGGTCGTGGACGCGGTCGTGGACGCGGTCGTGGACGTGGACGCGGTCGTGGACGCAGTCGTGGACGTGGACGTGGACGTGGTGGACGTGGAAGTGGACGTGGACTTGGACGTGGTCGTGGACGTGGACGTGGACGTGGACGTGGTCGTGGACGTGGACGTGGTCGTGGACGTGGACGTGGACGTGGACGTGGTTGTGGACGTGGACGTGGTCGTGGACGTGGACGTAGTCGTGGACGTGGACGTGGACGTGGACGTGGACGTGGAGGTGGACGTGGACGTGGACGTGCAGGTGGACGTGGACGTGGACGTGGACGTGGACGTGGTCGCGGACGTGGTCGCGGACGTGGACGTGGTCGTGGATGTGGACGTGGTCGTGGACGTGGTCGTGGACGTGGACGTGGACGTGGACGTGGACGTGGACGTAAACGTGGACGTGGACCTGGACGTGGACGTGGACGTGGACGTGGACGTGGACGTGCAGGTGGACGTGGACGTGGACATGGACCTGGACCTAGACGTGGACGTGGACGTGGTGGACGTGGTCGTGGACGTGGACGTGGTCGTGGACGTGGACGTGGTCGTGGACGTGGGCATGGACGTGGACGTGGTGGACGTGGACATGGACGTGGACGTGGTCGTGGACGTGGAAGTGGACGTGGACGTGGATGTGGACGTGGATGTAGACGTGGACGTGGTCTTGGACGTGAACGTGGACGTGGACATGGACGTGATCGTGGACCTGGACATGGATGTGGACGTGGACGTGGACGTGGTCGTAGACGTGGACGTGGACGTGGACGTGGACGTGGTCGTAGACGTGGTCGTGGACATGGACGTGGACGTGGACGTGGTCGTGGACATGGATGTGGACGTGGACGTGGATGTGAACGTGGACGTGGACATGGACGTGGATGTGGTCGTGGAGGTGGATATGGATGTGGACGTGGACGAGGACGTGGACGTGGTCGTGGACGTGGACGTGGACGTGGTCGTGGTCGTGGTCATGGACGTGGACGTGGACTTGGACGTGGACGTGGACTTGGACGTGGACGTGGACGTAGACGTGGTGGTGGACGTGGACGTGGACGTGGACATGGTCGTGGACGTGGTCGTGGACATGGACGAGCATGTGGTGGACGTGGACGTGGACGTAGTCGTGGACGTGGTGGACGTGGACGTGGACGTAGTCGTGGACGTGGACGTGGACGTGGACGCGGTCGTGGACGTGGACGCGGTCGTGGACGTGGACGTAGACGTGGACGCGGTCGTAGACGCGGTCGTGGACGCGGTCGTGGACGTGGTCGTGGACGTGGTGGACGCGGTCGTGGACGCGGTCGTGGACGTGGACATGGACGTGGACGTGGACGTGGACATGGACGTGGAAGTGGACTTTGACGTGGTCGTGGACGTGGACGTGGACGTGGTCGTGGACGTGGACGTTGACATGGACGTGGACGTGGACGTGGACGTGGACGTGGACGTGGACGTGGACGTGGTCGTGGACGTGGACGTGGACATGGAAGTGGTCGTGGACGTGGACGTAGACGTGGACGTGGACGTGGAGTGGACCTGGACGTGGATGTCGACGTGGACGTGGACGTGGACATGGACGTGGACGTGGACGTGGACATGGACGTGGAGGTGGTCGTGGACGTGGACGTGGACGTGAATGTGGACGTGGACGTGGACCAGGACCTGGACGTGGACGTGGACTTGGCCGTGGACATGGACGGACGTGGACCTCGACGTGGTCGTGGACGTGGACGTGGACGTGGAAGTGGACTTGGACGTGGACGTGGACGTGGATGTGGACTTGGATGTGGCCGTGGACGTGGACGCGGACATGGACGTGGACGTGGACCTCGACGTGGTCGTGGACGTGGACGTAGACGTGGACGTGGACGTGAACGTGGTGGTGGACGTGGACGTGGACGTGGACGTGGTCGTGGACGTGAACGTGGACGTGGTCGTGGACGTGGACGTGGACGTGGTGGACGTGGACGCGGTCGTGGACGTGGACGTCGACGCGGTCGTGGACGCGGTCGTGGACGTGGACGTGGACGTGGTGGACGTGGACGTGGACTTGGTCATGGACGTGGACGTGGACGTGGTGGACGTTGACGTGGATGTGGACATGGATGTGGACGAGGTCGTGGACGTGGACGTGGAAGTGGTCGTGGACGTGGACGTGGACCTGGACCTGGACGTGGATGTGGCATGGACGTAAACGTGGACGTGGACCTCGACCTGGACGTGGACGTGGACGTGGACCCAAACGTGGACGTGGACGTGGACGTGGACGTGGTCGTGGACGTGGACGTGGTGGACGTGGACGTGGCGTGGACGTGGTCCTGGACGTGGACGTTGACGTGGACGTGGACGTGGACGCGGACGTGGACGTGGACGCGGACGTGGACGTGGACGCGATCGTGGTCGTGGACGTGGACGTGGACGTGGTCGTTATGGTGGATGTAAACGTGGACGTGGACGTGGACGTGGTCGTCGACGTCGACGTGGACGTGGACGTGGACGTGGTCGTGGACGTGGTCGTGGTCGTGGACGTGGACGTGGTCGTGGACGTGGACATGGTTGTGGTCGTGGACGTGGACGTGGACGTGGTGGACGTGGACGCGGACGTAGACGTGGACGTGGACGTGGACGTGGACGCGGTCGTGGACGCGGTCGTGGACGCGGTCGTGGACGTGGACGCGGTCGTGGACGCGGTCGTGGACGCGGTTGTGGACGCGGACGTGGACGCGGTCATGGAAGCGGTCGTGGACGTGGACGCGGTCGTGGAAGCGGTCGTGGACGTGGACATGGACGTGGTCGTGGACGTGGACTTGGACGTGGACGTGGACGTGGACGTGGTCGTGGACGTGGACGTGGACGTGGACGTGGTTGTGGCGTGGACGTGGTCGTCGACGTGGACGTGGACGTGGACGTAAACGTGGACGTGGACGGGGACGTGGACGTGGACGTGGTCGTGGAGGTGGACGTGGAGGTGGACGTGGACGTGGACGTGGACCTGGACGTGGACCTGGACGTGGACCTGGGCGTGGACATGGACGTGGACGTGGTGGACATGGACGTGGACATGGACGTGGACCTGGACCTTGACGTGGGCGTGCACGTCGACGTGGACGTGGTGGACGTGGACGTGGATGTGGTCGTGGACGTGGAGGTGGACATGGTCGAGGACGTGGACGTGGACGTGGACGTGGTCGTGGACGTGAACGTGGACGTGGATGTGGACATGGACGTGGTCGTGGACCTGGAGGTGGATGTGGAATTGGACGTGGACGTGGACGTGGACGTGGACGTGGACGTGGTCGTGGACGTGGACGTGGTGGACGTGGACGTGGACGTGGTCATGGTCGTGGACGTAGACGTGGACGTGGTGGACGTGGACGTGGACGCGGTCGTGGACGTGGACGTGGACGTGGACGTCACGTGGACGTGGACGTGGACGTGGACGTGGTCTTGGACGCGGTTGTGGACGCGGTCGTGGACGCGGTAGTGGACGCGGACGTGGACGCGGTCGTGGACGCGGACGTGGACGCGGTCGTGGACGTGGACGCGGTCGTGGACGCGGTCGTTGACGTGGACGTGGTCGTGGACGTGGACGTGGTCGTGGACGTGGACGTGGACGTGGACTTGGACGTGGACGTGGACGTGGACGTGGTCGTGGACGCGGACGTGGACGTGGTTGTGGCGTGGACGTGGTCGTCGACGTGGACGTGGACGTGGACGTAAACGTGGACGTGGACCTGGACGTGGAGGTGGACGTGGACGTGGACGTGGTCGTGGACGTGGACGTGGAGGTGGACCTCGACGTGGACGTGGACCTGGACGTGGACGTGGGCGTGGACGTGGACGTGGTGGATGTGGACGTGGACGTGGACCTGGACCTGGACGTGGGCGTGGACGTCTACGTGGACGTGGTGGACGTGGACGTTGACGTGGTCGTGGACGTGGACGTGGACATGGTCGTGGACGTGGACGTGGACGTGGTCTTGGACGTGAACGTGGACGTGGACATGGACGTGGTCGTGGACCTGGAGGTGGATGTGGACTTGGACGTGGACGTGGACGTGGACGTGGTTGGGGACGTGGAGGTGGACGTGGACGTGGTCGTGGACGTGGACGTGGTCGTGGTCATGGACGTGGACGTGGACGTGGACGTCGACGTGGTCGTGGACGTGGACGTGGACGTGGTCGTGGACGTGGACGTGGACTTGGACGTGGTCGTGGACGTGGACGTGGACTTGGACGTGGACGTGGACGTGGACGTGGACTTGGACGTGGACGTGGACTTGTTCGTGGACGTGGACGTGGACGTGGACATGCGCGTGGACGTGGACGTGGACGTGGACGTGGTCGTGACGTGGACGTGGTCGTGGTCGTGGACATGGACGTGGACGTGGTGGACGTCGACGTGGACGTAGTCGTGGACGTGGACGTGCACATGGACGTGGACGTGGTCGTAGACGTGGACGTGGACGTAGACGTGGACCTGGACGTGGTCGTGGACGTGGACGTGGACGTGGACGTAGACGTAGACGTGGACGTGGACGTGGACGTGGTGGTGGACGTGAACGTGGTCGTGGACGTGGACGTGGTCGTGGACGTGGTCGTGGACGTGGTCGTAGACGTGGACGTGGTCGACGTGGACGTGGTCGTGGACGTGGACGTGGACGTGGTCGTGGTCGTGGATGTGGACGTGGTCGTGGACGTGGACGTGGACATGGACGTGGACTAGGACGTGGACGTGGAGGTGGACGTGGTCGTGGACGTGGACGTGGACGTGGTCGTGGACGTGGACGTGGACGTGGTCGTGGACGTGGACGTTGACATGGACGTGGACGTGGTCGTGGACGTGGACGTGGACGTGGACGTGACCGTGGACGTGGACCTAGACGTGGACTTCGATGTGGACGTGGACGTGGACGTGGTCGTGGACGTGGACGTGGACATGGACGTGGTCGTGGACGTGGACGTGGACGTGGAGTGGACGTGGACGTGGAGGTGGTCGTGGACGTGGACATGGACGTGGACGTGGACGTGGACATGGACGTGGACGTGGACGTGGACGTGGACATCGACGTGGACTTGGACGTGGACTTGGACGTGGAGGTGGTCGTGGACGTGGACGTGGACGTGGACGTGAACGTGGACGTGGACGTGGACTAGGACCTGGACGTGGACGTGGACTTGGACGTGGAGTTGGACGTGGACATGGACGGACGTGGACCTGGACGTGGACGTGGACGTGGAAGTGGACTTGGACGTGGACGTGGACGCGGACTTGGATGTGGACGTGGACGTGGACGTGGACATGGACGTGGAGGTGGACCTGGACGTGGTCGTGGACGTGGACGTGGACGTGGACGTGGACGTGGACGTGGTCGTGGACGTGGACGTGGACGTGGTCGTGGACGTCAACGTGGACGTGGACATGGTGGACATGGACGCGGTCGTGGACGCGGTCGTGGACGTGGACGTGGACGTGGTCGTGGTCGTGGACGTGGACGTGGACGTGGACGTGGACATGGACGTGGTGGACGTTGACGTGGTGGACGTTGACGTGGACGTGGACGTGGACGTGGACGTAAACGTGGACGTGGACCTTGACCTGGACCTGGACGTGGACGTGGACGTGGTCGTAGACGTGGACGTCGACGTGGACGTGGTGGACGTGGACGTGGCGTGGACGTGGTCCTAGACGTGGACATGGACGTGGTCGTGGACGTGGACGTGGTCGAGGATGTGGACGGGGACGTGGACGTGGACGCGGACGTGGACGTGGACGCGGACGCGGACGTGGACGCGGACGTGGACGTGGCATGGTCGTGGACGTGGACGTGGACGTGGTGGTGGAGGTAGACGTTGACGTGGACGTGGACGTGGTCTTGGACGTGGACGTGGACGTGGACGAGGTCGTCGACGTCGACGTGGTCGTGGACGTATACGTGGACGTGGACGTGGTCGTGGTCGTGGACGTGGACGTGGTAGTGGACGTGGACGTGGACGTGGTCGTGGACGTGGAAGTGGACGTGGACGTGGTGGACGTGGACGTGGACGTGGTCGTGGACGTGGACGTGGTCGTGGACGTGGACGTGGTCGTGGATGTGGACGTGGTCGTGGACGTGGACGTGGTCGTGGACGTGGACGTGGACGTGGTCGTGGACGTGGTCGTGGACCTGGACGTGGACGTGGACGTGGACGTGGAAGTGGACGTGGTGGACGTGAACGTGGCGTGGACGTGGACCTGGACGTGGACGTGGACGTGGTCGTGGACGTGGACGTGGTCTTGGACGTGGTCCTGGACGTGGACGTGGTCTTGGACGTGGACGTGGACGTGGACGTGGACGTGGACGTGGACGCGGATGTGGACGCGGACGTGGACGTGGTCGTGGACGTGGACGTGGTGGACGTGGTCGTGGACGTGGACGTGGTCGTGGACTTGGTCGTGGACGTGGACGTGGACGTGGTCGTGGACGTGGACGTGGACGTGGACGTGGACGTGGACGTGGACGTGGACGTGGTAGACGTGGACGTGGCGTGGACGTGGTCCTGGACGTGGATGTGGACGTGGTCGTGGGCGTGGATGTGGACGTGGACGCGGACGTGGACGTGGACGCGGACGTGGACGCGGACGTGGACGTGGACGTGGTCGTGGACGCGGACGTTGATGTGGATGTGGTGGTGGAAGTAGACGTGGACGTGGACGTGGACGTGGACGTGGACGTGGGCGTGGACGTGGTCGTGGACGTGGACGTGGACGTAGTCGTGGACGTGGACGTGGTAGTGGATGTGGACGTGGACGTGGACGTGGTCGTGGACGTGGACGTGGACGTGGACGTGGACGTGGCAGACGTGGACGTGGACGTGGACGTGGACGTGGGCGTGGACGTGGGCGTGGACGTAGACGTGGACGTGGACCTCAACGTGGACGTGGACGTGGTCGTGGACGTGGACGTGGACGTGGACGTGGACGTGGACGTGGTGGACGTGGACGTGGCGTGGACGTGGTCCTGGACGTGGATGTGGACGTGGTCGTGGGCGTGGACGTGGACGTGGACGCGGACGTGGACGTGGACGCGGACGTGGACGCGGACGCGGACGTGGACGTGGATGTGGTGGTGGAAGTCGACGTGGACGTGGACGTGGACGTGGACGTGGACGTGGACGTGGACGTGGTCGTGGACGTGGACGTGGACGTGGTCGTGGACGTGGTAGTGGATGTGGACGTGGACGTGGACGTGGTCGTGGACGTGGACGTGGTAGTGGACGTGGACGTGGACGTGGTCGTGGACGTGGACGTGGACGTGGTCGTGGACGTGGACGTGGTCGTGGACGTGGTCGTGGACGTGGACGTGGACGTGGTCGTCGACGTCGACGTGGTCGTGGATGTGGACGTGGACGTGGACGTGGTCGTGGACGTGGACGTGGTAGTAGACGTGGACGTGGACGTGGACGTGGAAGTGGACGTGGACGTGGACGTGGTCGTGGACGTGGACGTGGACGTGGTCGTGGACGTGGACGTGGTCGTGGACGTGGTCGTGGACGTGGACGTGGACGTGGTCGTGGACGTGGACGTGGTCGTCGACCCGGACGTGGACGTGGTCGTGGACGTGGACGTGGACGTGGACGTGGATGTAGACGTTGACGTGGACGTGGACGTGGACGTGGACGTGGTGGACGTGGCGAGGACGTGGTCGTGGACGTGGTCGTGGACGTGGACGTGGACGTGGTCGTGGATGTGGACGTGGTCGTGGACGTGGACGTGGTCGTGGACCTGGACGTGGACGTGGATGTAGACGTGGACGTGGACGTGGACGTGGATGTAGACGTGGACGTGGACGTGGACGTGGACGTGGTGGACGTGGCGTGGACGTGGTCGTGGACGTGAAATGGACGTGGACGCGGAGGTGGACGCGGACGTGGACGTGGACGTGGTCGTGGACGTGGACGTGGACGTGGTGGTGGACGTGGACGAGGACGTGGACGTCGACGTGGACGTGGTCGTGGACGTGGACGTGGACGTGGTCGTGGACGTGGTCGTGGACGTGGTCGTGGTCGTGGACGTGGACGTTGTCGTGGACGTGGACGTGGTCGTGGACGTGGTCGTGGATGTGGACGTGGACGTGGACGTGGACGTGGACGTGGTCGTGGACGTGGTCGTGGACCAGGTCGTGGACGTGGACGTGGACGTGGTCGTGGACGTGGACGTGGACGTGGACGTGGTCGTGGACGTGGACGTGGACGTGGTCGTGGACGTGGACGTGGACGTGGTCGTGGACGTGGACGTGGTGGACGTGGACGTGGTCGTGGACGTGGACGTGGACGTGGACGTGGTCGTGGACGTGAATGTGGACGTGGACGTGGTCGTGGACGTGGACGTGGTCGTGTTTGTTGACGTGGTCGCGGACGTGGACGTGGTCGTGGACGAGATCGTGGACGTGGACGTGGACGTGGTGGACGTGGTCGTGGAGGTGGACGTGGTGGACGTGGTCGTGGAGGTGGACGTGGACGTGGTCGTGGACGTGGACGTGGACATGGTCGTGGACGTGGACGTGGACGTTGTCGTGGACGTGGACGTGGACGTGGACCTGGACGTGGACGTGGACGTGGCAGACGTGGACGGGGACGAGGACGTGGACGTGGGCGTGGAGGTGGGCGTGGACGTGGACGTGGACGTGGACGTGGACCTGGACGTGGACGTGGACGTGGACGTTGTCAACGGGAGTTGTGTGTTGGCCCCGTCCTCGCTTGGGCGGAGCCGACATCGTGGTCGGGTGTTAGGGGAGCAGCCGACCTGCAGCAGTGGGCGAGCTGGTTGACAAGGAGGTCGATTTGCACGGGGACCACTGCACGGGCGCCGACTTCAGGGTGGCGCCAACTTCGGGGAGGTCGACTTAGGAGTCGACCTGCGGAGGACGTCAACTTGGTGACGTCAACTTGGGGAAGCCGACTTCGATGGTCGGCTGATGGACTGCTGGTCGACCTGTGGGTGGTCGACTGGACCAGGTGGTCGAAGAAGGAGGGGCCGACGTCGACCTCGACTCAGGATGCCGAGCAGTTGGGCGTCGAGTAGCGGGGCGTCAACTTCGTGACGCCGACTTCGGGTGGCCGACGTGGGTGGTCGGCCTACAACTGCGCTGGCCGACTTAGTGCTGGTCGATGTGGAGCTGGTCGACCAGAAGGGACGTCAACCCGGAGGAGGTCGACCGAGGGGCGTGGTCGTCCTGGTGAGGCCGACATGGAGGTGGTCGTCGACTTGGGAGGTCGACGGGCACGTATGGGAGCTGCTCGTCGACGTGGTTGCCCGGTCGACCAGGTTACCTGGGTGACAATGTGCTGCGGAGGAGTGCGACGGTCGCCCAGTATCCTGGACGAGGCCCGCTCCAGGACTAGGCAAGGTCCTGGACTAGGCAAGATCGTGGATCAGGCAAGCTCGTGGACCAGGCAAGCTTCTGGACCAGGCAAGCTCCTGGACCAGGCAAGCTCCTGGACCAGGCAAGCTCTTGGACCAGGCAAGCTCCTAGACCAGGCAAGCTCTTGGACCAGGCACGCTCTTGGACCAGGCAAGCTCCTAGACCAGGCAAGCTCCAAGACCAGGCTAGCTGTTGGACCAGGCAAGCTCTTCGACCAGGCAAGCCCTTTGACCAGGCAAGCTCTTGGACTAGGCAAGCTCCTAACCAGGCAAGCTCCTGGACCAGGCAAGCTCTTGGACCAGGCAAGCTCTTGGACGAGGCAAGCTCTTGGACAAGGCAAGCTCTTGGACCAGGCAAGCTCTTGACCAGGCAAGCTCCTGGACCAGGCAAGCTCCTAGACCAGGCAAGCTCCTTCACCAGGCAAGCTCCTAGACCAGGCAAGCTACTGGACCAGGCAAGCTCCTAGACGAGGCATGCTTCTGGACCAGGCAAGCTCTTGGACCAGGCAAGCTCCTGGACCAGGCAAGCTCTTGGACGAGGCAAACTTTTGGACCAGGCAAGCTCTTGGAACAGGCACGCTCTTGGACCAGGCAAGCTCTTTGACCAGGCAAGCTCCAGGACCAAGCAAGCTCCTAGAACATGCAAGCTCCAGGACCAGGCAAGCTCCAGGACGAGGCAAGCTCTTGGACCAGGAAAGCTTCTGGACCAGGCAAGCTGCTGGACCAAGCAAGCTCCTGGACCAAGCAAGCTCATGGACCAGGCAAGCTCATGGACCAAGCACGCTCCTTGAACAGGCAAGCTACTGGACCAGGTTAGCTCCTGGACCAGGCAAGCTCCTGGACCAGGCAAGCTCCTCGACTAAAGCCGATGTTGATGGGGGAGGAGCAAGTCGAGGAGAAGCAGCCGACAGGGGAACAGGCAGTAGTGAAGCCGACCACGGAGCAGTCGGCAACCGGGCAGTCACCAGGCGAGCCGGCCACAGGGGAGAAGTCGGCCAGGAAGTCAAATGAGCTGCAGCAGGACGATGAGGGGGAGGAGGACGCCGAGGAGTCCACCAAGAGTGACGTGGTGGAGGTTTCGCCTGAACCCCGGAAGTCAGGCCGACTTGGGAGGCCTCCCGACTTCTTCACCCTGCTGCCTTCACCACGGTGTACGACGTGGACGACGACGACCTGGCGTATGACGACAAAGAGGAGGATGAGGAGTTTCCGGAGCTCGACCCCGACATGCATGCCGACCCCCGAGCACCGTTGGGACATCTCGACGATGACGGTGAAGGAGGCGTTGGCGAGCTGGAAGGGCCCGGCAGTGAAGGCCGCCATGGAGGAGGAGATCCGCAGCATTATCAATATAGGCACATGGGAGCTGGTCGAACGCCCGCCGGGGGTGAACGTCATGAAGAACCGGTGGGTGTTAACTACGAAGTACCAAGTCGACGACACCGTCGAGCGCGAGAAGGCGAGGCTGGTCGTGAAGGGCTTCACTCAAGTGTACGGCGCCGACTAGGATGAGACGTTCGCGCCGGTGGGCAGCTACGTCACGCTGAGGATCTTCCTCAGCATCGTCGCCGTCCTCAACCTCAACCTGATGCAGCTCGACATGATGAATGCCTTCTTGCATAGCCAGCTCAACCGGGTGCTCTACATGTCTCAGCCGGACTACTTCAACGACGGAACCGGCCGGGTGTGCAAGCTGTTGAAGAGCCTGTACGGGCTGAAGCAGTCGCCGCTGCTGTGGTACTTGGCGTTCAACGACGTCCTGGTCGGCGCCGGGTGGAAGAAGAGCCAGTTCGACGAGGCTCTCTAGTTCAAGGTCGGCAACGACGGAGTGGCTTGCTGGGTGCTGGTCTATGTCGACGACCTGCTCGCCGCCAGCAGCAGCACCAAGATGCTGTACGAGATGAAGGAGCTGCTAGAGTCCGCCTTCAAGCTGCGTGAGATCTTGCCAGTGTAGAAGTACCTTGGGCTGGAGATCGTCCGCGACAGGTCGGCGGGGAAGCTATGGCTGCACCAGCAGGGCTACGCCGACAAGCTGCGTAGGCGCTTCATCGACGAGGAGCAGACCGGGCGCACCCCGAAGTCGCCGGTCTCGGTCGACGCCTACACCGAGCTCACCTTCGACGACGAGGAGGCGCGGGAGCAACAGGAGGAGGAGTACCGGCAGAAGGTCGGCTCATTGCAGTTCGCAGCGACGACGACGAGGTCGGACATCGCCTTTGCCTGCAGCAAGTTGGGGAGCGGCCTCACGGTGAGGAGTGACCAGCACTGGCGCCTACCTCGCCAACACGCGTGACACCACCCTAGAGCTCGGCGGTGGACCTCACTCGCTGGAGCTGGTCAGCTACGTGGACGCCGACGACGCTGGTGACAAGCAGATCAGGACGAGCACGGGTGGCTAGGTGTTCGTCTACGGAGGGGCCGCGGTCTCCTGGTCGAGCCAGCGCATCAAGGGCGCGACGCTGTCGTCGACCGAGTCGGAGTACGTGGCGGCTACGGAAGCCGGCAAGGAGGGACGTCGACTTCGTTTTCTCCTTGCAGAGTTCCGGCAGCTGGATGCAGGGAAGCCGACCGTCCTCCGGGTGGACAACAAGTCGGCCATCACAGTCGCCGAGGGCATGGGGTTGACGGGAAACCTTGTGAAAACAAATGACCAGGAATTGGAATGACTAAGTCAGAGTTGGGTACAAATACAACCCTAGAAAGCTGTACCCCATATGTGCTACCCCACTATAGCCTACAAACATGCATCAGCTATAATAATCTGACACACCCCCATAGGCAAAGTGGGGGAGAACAAGGGGTCACAAGACCAGTCAAGCAAAGCAAAGCAGAGCAAGCTCAGGGTGGATCACAAAGTCACCACGCAGTCCGAGCACAAGAGTAGGGCCAGAGGCCAGTTCACATGCAGGAGTACAGACATATATATAAAACTAGACAAGCAGGAGAAGGTATATATATGTCACAGTACAAGAAAAGTCAAGAGGAGAGCAAGTGAGGCAAGACAGGCACAAGACCCAGCTGGGTGCAAAAGCGCTGATGGTCACAAGGCGCGAGTGCCTTGGTGAACACATCAGCAGTGTTGGCCTCAGAGGCCACGTACGCAAGTCGCAACTGACCACGCTGCTGCAGCTCACGAGCAAGGAAGTAGCGGAGAGCAATGTGCTTCGTTCTGTGCTCCAAGCGCTGCTCTCGACACAAGGCCAGCATGGCCTTGTTGTCTACGTACAGCACTGGAGGAGAACGAGGCGGCTCTCCAAGGTCAGTGAGCAGGTAGGTGAGCCAGCGAAGCTCCTGTGCAGCCATGGCCCCGGCGTAGATCTCAGCCTCACAACTGGAGCCGAGAACCGAAGACGAACGAGTAGACCGCCACGAGACAGAGCCGGAACCAAGACTGAAGGTGTAACCCTGTGACGACCGCTGCGTAGCCTGGTCGTCTGCACAAGAAGCGTCCGCGTGGCCTGTAAGGACCACTGGACTCCGCCCTCCAAGCACTAGCCCCATGCCCGACGTACTGCACAGGTAGCGCAATACCCTCTTCGCTGCAGCCATGTGCTCTGGTCGGTGTCTCCCAGGAGCAACATAGCGTGCAAGAATGCTCAGAGGGTATGCAAGGTCAGGTCGAGTGCAGGTCATCAGGTACATGAGGCAGCCAACAAGCTCTGGGTACGGGCCACTCGACTCTACGGACTCATCCGAAGGCAGAGCTGAGAGCGAGTGGCGAGTAGACAGAGGAGTGGCCTGAGGCGAGGAGTACGTGAAGCCGAAGCGCTGAAGGACCTCCTGCACCATGTGTGACTGAGTCAAGGTGATGGTGCGGCGTGCTCTGTCCCGAGTGATCTGCAAGCCAAGGTAGCTGCGCAGTTCACCCAGGTCTGTGCACGTGTGTCTCTTCAGCAGCTCGGACTTCACGTAGGCGAGTCCAGCAGTGTCCGCTGTGGCAAAGACCAAGTCGTCGATGTACACGAGGATGTAGAACGGCGGCAAAGAAGTGTCGGTGCGCAGAAACAGCGACGGGTCGGCAGTAGAGGGAGCAAACCCAAGAGCCGCAAGTGTAGTCCTCAGTGTGTCGTGCCACACACGCGGTGCCTGGTGGAGACCGTGGACTGGCCGTCGGAGGCTCGACTGGGTGCCATGAGGGAAAGTCCCAGTGAAGCCAGGTGGACGGCGCAGCCAGATCTCCTCGTGCAGGCTACCCTGCAAGAACGCAGTGCTGAAGTCGAGAGAGTGAAGCTCGTAGTTGCGCTGAGCGGCTATGTGCAGCAGCACCCGAAGAGTGGTCATCTTCGGGGTGGGAGAGAAGGTCTGAAAGTAGTCAACTCCCTGCCGCTGACTGAAGCCACGAGCAACGTACCGCGCCTTGAAGACAGGTGGAGAGCCCGGCGGCCGCTTCACCCGGAAGATCCACATGCCACTGACGATGTTCGCCCCAGGAGGGGGAACTGCGTCAACGTAGGTGCCTGTGGACTTCCAGGAAGCCATCTCTGCATCCACAGCTGCCTGCCACTGAGAGGAGTAGGGACCCTCTACGGCCTCCGCGTAAGAGCGCGGAGTCGGGATGTCTAGTGCATCCGGGTCTCCCTCAGGAGCAAGCAGTACAGACGCGAGATGAGGTGAAGCAGCAGCCAGACACTGGAACTCCTCCTGCTTGTCCTCTAGGACGTCCGTGCCAAGAGCACACTCACCCCCGACGGACGGAGGACAGACAGACGCAGACTCAGCAACAAGACTAGCAGCGTAGTCTAGACGACAGCGAGCAGCAAAGTCGACGAGCTCAGCGACAAGAGCAGACGCAGCAGTGGACTCAAACGAGGGGTCGGTGACGACAGTAGCAAGCAGACGCGTGACAGTAGGACTGGCAGCACGAAGAGAGTCCGACTCAGGGTCGGCAAGCGCAGGAAGAGAGGACTCAGGAGGAGAAGGCAAAGGGGCACGCAGAGGAGCAGTGGACGGACGCAGAGACATCCGGTGCGTGCCAGGGACAGAAGGAGGACGCTGACGCGAACCGCGACCACTAGCGCGAGCAGCACGAACAGGCGACGTGGGACGAGACGCAGGCTCACGACGCTCAGCAAGACCTCCAGTAGGACCAGTGTAAGGAGAGGGAGCAGGCAGAGGAGAGGAAGGCTCCAACAGTGACTGCGACAGGACAGGCCGTGGACACTCTACCAGAGGAGAAAGCCCAAGAACCTGCTGCAGGAGCGGAACGAAGTACGGCCGAGGCCGCGCGGCAGCTCCAGACTCAGCAGGGACAGCACCAGCACCCTCAGCGACAGCACCAGCGCCACCAACACCTCCAGCGGCAGGACCTCCAGCAGCACCAGCAGTAGAACCACCGCGAGGACAGACAGCAGTGGTCTCAGCACCAACACCCTCAGCAGCGCATGGAGCGGTGACATGGTATAGAGCGAGTTCCCTGTGGGAACGTTGCCACATGGAGCGGCGACACACCAAGTTACCCAACTCTGACTTAGTCATTCCAATTCCTGGTCATTTGTTTTCACATGGTATAGAGCGAGTTCCCTGTGGGAACGTTGCCTAGGGCCCACCGAAGCGCGCCCCGAGGCGCGCACCTTTTTTTGAGCGACCCCTCGAGTCGCCCTTTCCCTCGTGGCCCCGCCGTCCCTCAGACGCGGCCCCGCCACCCCTTCTGACCGCGGCCCCGCCACCCGATCGCGGCCCCGCCGCCAGCTACGAAGCGGCCCCGCCGCCTGCTCGACGCGGCCCTGCCGCTCTATGCACATCGAGCAGTTGGGCGTCGAGTAGTAGGGCGTCAACTTGGTGATGCCAACTTCGGGTAGCCGACTTGGGAGGTCGGCT